CATTTCTCTGCCTTGTGTCAGAGTGTTTCATTTTCATTACCATCTTTAGTGGTAAAACACAAATTAGTGTTGAACATAAATGTCATTAATAAATCATACATTTTAAACACTGGTGTAACCACTGAAAAACTAGCTAAAGGGCTTTGAAATTAGGGGAAGAAACATAGGTATATTTTTCAACAGTGATAAAAAAATAAATAAAATCTAGTCTATCTAGAGACAAAAAAAAAAAAAAAATTCCAAAACAGATCATAGAAAAATTCTGGAAAGCACTGTTGGATGTAGAAAAACAGAGGTAAAAAGAAAGAATAGGCAGCTTAAGAATTTTAGTTAAGTACTTCAAGACAAAGGTACTATATGCCTTGGGCTACAGAGAAAGCTGCTAGGACACCTGCTAAATTTTACAACCAGTACCATCTGTGATTCAGAGGCTCCTGGAAGCAGGTTTACAATTTTTAGATAGATGATAGAGAATTCTGAGTTTTAAGGGGTTTTAGTTGCAAAATTTCACATTATCTTGTCATTTCTCACCCCTTTTACATGTAGCAGCTGTTTATTTCTTTTTTTAAAAAAAAAACATCAGAAATTCATTGGTTGCTCAAAACATTACATTGATCTTGACATATCATACATTTGATTCAAATGGGGTATGAATTCTTATTTTTCCACGTGTACAGACTGCAGGATCACATTGGTTATACAGCCACGTTTATCATACTGCCATACTAGTGTCTGTTGTATTCTGCTGCCCTTCCTATCCCCTTCCTATCCCCCCTCGCCTCCCCTCCCCTCCCTTCACCTCTCTCTACCCCATCTACCATAACTCATTTCTCTCTCTCTCTCTCTCTCTCTCTCTCTCTCTCTCTCTCTCTCTCTCTCTCTCTCTCTTTTCCCCTTTCTCCTCATATCCTCTTATATGTATTTTTGTATAACAATGAGGGTCAGGTCTTCTTCCATCTTCTGTGCAATTCCCCTTCTCTCTCCCATTCCCTTCCACCTCTCCTCCCTGTTTGATGGTAATCTTCTTCTCATGCTCTTCCTCCCTACTCTGTTTTGAGTCYCTTATATCAAAGAAGACATTTGGAATTTGTTTTTTAGGGATTGGCTGACTTCACTTAGCATAATCTGCTCTAATGCCATCCATTTCCCTGCAAATGCCAYRATTTTGTTATTTTTTAGTGCTAATATTCCATTGTGTATATATGCCACATTATTTTTATACATTCATCTATGGAAGGGCATCTAGGTTGGTTCCACAGTCTAGCTATTGTGAATTGTGCAGCTGGTTATTTCTGAGAGGTTGAAGAGAGAGGATATGCCCAACCTTGCTTGAATGTGCAACCTACATGCCCTCTTTACATTCTGCAGAAATACACAGGAGGATTTTCACTGTTGTTATTGCGATGTAGCCAGGAAATGGTGGAGACAGGWTTTGGACTTTGGCTCATTCCAGACCCCTTACTTTTAAGTACTTTGTGATTCCTACTTTGTTGTGTTTGTATTTTGTGGTTGCCATATATTAGTAAATAGAACCAGAGGTTGTCAACTTTGATCAAATTATGCAAAGCAGAGCTTCATTAGAGTGTCTCTTGGATGAACTGTTCAAAGAAACCATGTTTCCTCTGRGTTTCATATTTAAGTTCCAGAACCTGTAGAGGAGATTTTTTTTTTCCCTAATGAATGGTCAGAAAAACTACTCTCTGTAGTGATAGTCTTCATTTTTTACCACAATGAGTAAATTTAGTTCTGTTAACATCCATAATTAACATTTGGATACAGAGTAGTATATCACAAAATATCTTAATAATCCTAGAAATTCTGACATCTGTGAATTAGGGGTTCTTTTAAAATGCATTGAACTTCTTCAACATCATTCAGTAGTATCTTTACATCTCTCACATTGACCAATTAAGCCCAAATTCTTTGATTGATTTTTTAGCATCAAACAATTCAACTCTTAAGAATAGATATTGAAATAATATTTTAGTTCTGCCTAGTAATAAATGTGTCACTATAACCTGTTTAAATTAACTCTTAACTCATGATCACTGCTTATSATTGCATTGTACAAACCAATACGCATCATTTGTCAACATTTAATTCTAGCCTTAGATCAAGTTTATAATGAAAAGACATTTGGTTAAAMAAATCTGATTTCAAACACTAAACCATGTAAATTATTTACTCAGGTATTACCAATAATTATTTTTATTGTAAAAACAAAAAAAAATATTTTAAAATATCAATATTTGTTAGATATTTTTAAATTTTAAAGTCCTTCCACATATATATTTTTTTTCATGAGTGTTTCAGAAATTCTGTTAGTGGCAGAAAAGATGYGATAATTTCAAAGTGCACCTGTGGGAAATGACAAGACAAGCATGCACATGGTAGGTGATAGTTTTTCTCAGATTATTATAAGTTATCAATAGGAAACATGGGTTTAAAGTCAGAATCTCTGCTTCTCCATCTTTTTTTTTCCCCAAATGAAGACAGATTTATTGTTAGCAGCCATCAATAATTGCACTAAGTGTGAATGGATTAAATATCCCACTAAAAMCAGATTGGATTAAAAACAGTATTCTAGCTTCAGGAAACATACCTTAGATTCATGGACACAAACAGACTGAAAATGAGGATGTGGAGAAACTAGAATTGCCAGTTGATCTGTATGCAACCACTTGGGAAAACAGTTTGATATATTTTTTTAATATTTGTTTTTAATTAAATTATTTATTTATTCTAATTTGTTATAGACAATGGAAGAATGCAATTTATTTCATATTACACATATAGAGCACAATTTTCCAAGTGATTGATTGTACAGAGTATTTTCACACCATTCGTGTGTCTTCATACATGTACTTARGGTAATGATGTCTAACTCATTCCACCATCAATCCTACCCCATTGCCCCCTCCCTTTCCYTCCCTCACCTTTGCCCTATCTAAAGTTCTTCCATTCCTCCCATGATCCCCTCCTCATTGCCATTATGAGTCATCTGCTCCTTCATCTTATGCTAACAACTGTTTTTGTGTTTTCAATACTTACGAGTTCCCTCAGAATTCTAAAAGGTTAAAAACATAGACCATACATTCAGTGCTCACCTCAAGAAAAAAAAAAAAAAAGATTGAAATCACTGTTGGTGTCAATATGCCCTTCTGCAATYGAATTTTTCATTCATCTTTTAATGGATATTTTGTTCTTTTAGCAATGCTGCAATAAAAAAAATTGTTTCTACATTTTGAATGCTTCTTCTCTCTCTTTCTGAATCTGTCTGTCTTTCCTTTTTCCTCTCTGGCCCATTTTGTTGTCCATAATGGTGCTTCCTTGCTGTAGCATTACTTGGCCAAAGGAGCTTTGAGATTCTTTTAAAAGGACACTAATTCTGTTCATGAGGGCTCCACCCCATGACCTCCTCCCCCAAAATACTTAACTTCTAATATTGTTGCTTTGGGGCTAGAAATTCAACATATGAATTTTGAGGAGACACAAACRTTGAGGCTAACCCCCCATTGAAATGTGAAATGCTTTCTTGTCCACCCTAAAGTAAATGAAAAACTGTTTTTTCACAAAAACCCCCAAATGTACATTTCTCTAAATTCAATTATTCCCCTTTACCTAATAGATAACTTGGATGTAATTACGTGTGTATCAATTTCTTTGCTCATTATTCTTTCTTGTCTCCCAGTCTGTCTTCTGTGATCTTTTTAACTCAAAAATTTGAAGAGAACTATTCAGGTATTTTGTAGCATAATTACTAGTTTGGATTTTTTTGACAATTTAATCAGACCATAAAGAATACCACAAAAGTAATGCCATACTCTCCTCATGCATTTTATTGTTTCATGTTCTGTACTTATATTTTCAATTCATTCATTTTAATGAATTGAAAATTCATTAAATTTCTGCATCTGACGATTTCAACTTCTTAAGTCAATAATGGTCTAATTGCAGTGTTTGTAGTTTTTGTGGATGTTATTTATGGACACAGAGATTTTATTTGCATGGGAACTTACTTTAGATTGCCAGTTTTGCCAGACTTCATCTCTGAGAATCATTTGAGACTTGTTTTGAGGACTCATCTCTCCAATGAGGATTTCCATTAGTTTTTGAAAGATAAATCAGAATTTTTACAATTTCAGGCCTATTTAAGTTAATTGGTTGGTTTGGGGTATTCCAGATACTTCAGTTACCTTAAAATCAGATTTCAACCTTCTCTGAAGTCAGGTTTCTCTCACCAATTATTATAGTGGACATGTTTGTACCATTGGAACTGAGGCTGCAGTGAACAGGATTTTCATCTTCTCATTTTTCATATGTGAACATTTTTTTCWCATTTCTGATTTTGCTGATGATGTCACCCTTCCAACAGTTTTAGCTGTACTCAGAAGCATCAGTTCCAACCTGGCTTAGTGAAAGTCCATGTCCTARCCGCCTATTTACACCTCACCACAGTTATCGCATCTCCAAATTTATCTTAGTTAATCTTACCAAGATCTTAGTCCTTCTTAGTTTAGATGAAAAAAAAAAATGCTCAAAGAAGAGATAGAAGGCCATTTGGTGAATTTTACAAAAGTAAAAATTCACAGAGTTGGATATGCAGTTTATTTAAATGTTCATGTTATCATATTCTGTTGTCACATACATAGATGCATGTATAGAGACACACATAAGATGATTCACATTATAAATACATAATAAAATGACCAACCATAAAGTAACATTGAATTTTACCATGAATATACTCAAGTATTCACAATCTTCCTTTTAGCATTAACATTTTAATACATCTTTGTTGGTATATGTTCTTTCATTTATGTGTTTCTCCGTCCAACCTATTTTCATTCACTTAGATATGTTGCAATGTAGATAAAAAAGCATTATAATATTTCTTCCACATGCTCTGATATGCCGTTTTCATTTGTGGTTTTCCTMTGATGCAAGGTATACACATAATGAAAGCAAATCATGAGTATATTTGCTAATTTTGACAAATGTATGAAATGTGGAACCTTATGAATTTATATGTCATCCTTGTGTAGAGGCCATGCTAATTTTCTCTGTATCAATCAAATTTTAGTAATATGTTGTCTAGTCAATGTACCCATAGCCTTTCTCATTATGTAGTCTGGGGATTTAATCCAGGGCCTTGTTTATGCTCAGATACACTTTTTAGTTTCAATTTCTGTATTCTATTTGTTTCCAAATAGATTTGAGATTCTTACTTTAACATATGAAACATATGCAGTGTCTTAACAATAGATTTTTTAAAAAAGCTTTAGAAAGGCTCAGATGTGATGGTATGTATTGTGCGAAGTCAGGGAAAAGGCTAAAATGCATGTCACATACTTGCACCTAAATAACTAGAAACATTACTATTCATAATTGACAGCAGAAAAATGAAAACCCTGGTAATGAGTTGGTGCTACAAAAATCAGACAACCTCCCCTCAGAAAAATAAAACATAATATGCAACTTTGTTTTGGTCTTTTTTTGAAAACTACTTGTGAGTAAAAATATGTCTAAGTATGTTAATGGTAGCAATCCTGTATTCATTCTTCAAAATAAAAAGTTGCATTCCAAAGTGGAATAATTTATATATATATATATATATATATATATATATATATATTTTTTTTTTTTTTAAAGAGCATGGGATTTCCACAAAAGAGAACATTTTGTGCAGTAGTATCATTTGGCAGCATCATTAGAGAATGTTTGGATGAGCACCTTGGGTATGGATCGCTAGGCTTCTTCACTGTTTTGGTAACCCTGGGTCTGACATCTGGGAGTCATAATGCATTTTTATTTTTGTACCAGTTCTCATAGCCATATTTTTCTTCTGCTTCACAAAAATGACTGGACCTCAATCTTGGCTTCTGAGAAAATTTATCCTTGGTTTTGGCTAGGAAGCAAGACTTAGAAATTACCGTCTGTCTTTGGGTCACATTCCTCAGGGTAAATATTCCCTCAATCACCAACTGTAGAAAAGGGGCTAGGATTGCTCATCAAATCTCACATTTTAATTTGTGTCAGTGTAAATTACTGAAGACCTTCAGGATCATAGCTTTATATGGGGAGTTCATCACTAAACTGTAGAAGACTAGATTGCATTAATAATTATAGGTAAATTCTTACTTTTCTATTGTAACTATAAGTTACCATAAACATAGCAGCTTAAAATATAAAAATATTTTTGCTTCCCAGGTTCTGTAATCTAGAAATCTGGATTGGCTGGACTGGGTCCTGGGYTTGGGTTCTTCCTAGACCACAATCAGGTTGTTAGCAGGTCTGCATTCCTCACTGTGGGCCCTGGGGAAGAAATTACTTCCAACTTCAATCAAGTTCATGGCCAAATTCAGTTTCTGTGGTTGTAAGGCTGAGTCYTACTTCCTTGCTGGCTATCAGCTGAGGACCAGCTTTGCATCTAAAGGCTGAATATTTTATGCTAACTAGGTGAGACCTTTGATATTATGGTGCGATTTCCTTTCCTCTTTTAATCTCTCTGGTTTTCCCTTCCATTTTGGTATTGCCATGAAAATATTTCTGATATGCCTGGGCTACACTTTGATAAATTATGACTCTTGTGATTATTCTGTCATTTTTTTCTTTTACTTCCCTATCGTATACACAGTTGATTTGTATTCATGCATGCTGCTGACAAGCATTTTCACTACTCTTTGGCATTCTATTACAAATATACACTGAAAAATAGTTGCGTATTCTGTTGATAGTTACTTTATTTTGACATTTTCTTACTTTTCTCTACCACAACAAGACTATTGAGAAGTTCATATTTATTTCCACCCTCAATATGTAATATTGAGTTACGTATAGAAAAAGAATTATTGAATCAAATGCTTTTAGTTTGTACATTTTGGGAAGAAAACAGCAAGTTATTATTCATAATATTGTTATCAAATTATACTTTTTATCAATGTGTATGTGAGTTTCTATTGACATATCTGTAGCAAATTAAAACTGCTGATCTTTTTTTTTTATTTTGTAAGTATTAGTGATAATACCCTATAAATTCTATGTTCAAACATATTTCAAATCTAAATGATCATCTCGGACCATTTACTTGGATGATATAATAGTAGAGACTGTGAACTAGTTTCAGCATTTTCTCTGTCAACACTACCTGCCTGGTCAGTTCCTGATTAGTTCCTTCAGCAGACACATCAAACATAGAGTGAATAACAGATCCATTCAGTGTCTTTCCCAATTGCCTTGAAAGCTTTTCAAAGCATTTGAATTAAAAYCTAAGGCCAATGTTTCTGTGGCCCAAAAGGATCAGCCCTTGCCTCCCTTTTAAACTTTACCTCTAGCCATTGAGATGTTCCTTCTGTTCCTTGGATGGGCGAAGCTCTCTGGCATAACAGGACCTTTGCACACAGGGTTCTCTCTTCTCCAGTACTCCTCCTCTTACTCTCTTTTGCTTGGTATCAGGGATCAATGCATCCTCCRGTTATCTTTTTGCTTCAGGTATCAGTGAACACTTCACCTCTTCTGGAAAGTTCTCTCTTTGGAGATAAAGATTCATTAGGTTCCACCTCCAAACACACCTTTGCTATCATTTTTTTACTTTATAAGATTAATAACAATTGGGGATTACTTTTTGTCTGACCACTTTTGTATATATATTTTTTACTCCTAACTTACAAGCTCCTTGATGGAAATGATTTTGTTTTCCTTTGCATCCCCAACACTAGGAAAAAATATTGTACTGTTTTTGAAAAAAATAAATGAATACAACATATGGAGTTTTACATGGTTATATCATTTCTAACAGTTCTATACTTCAGTTGTTTGTATTTAAATATGCTACATTCAAATAGTAAAATAAATATGTTTGGAATTGTTCCATAACTGTTAGAATATACTGAAGTCCATATCCATTTGTTGTAAGTATGGGTATATCTATATGGATTTAATTACTTAAAAACTAAAAGTAAGTAAATAAAATATATAATTTATAATATATATTTACATTTTTAAATAAAATTAATTTGTTCTTTGTGTAAATAAATATATATTTAAATACACAATATTTAAATATGTGTATCATACTTATAATATATATTTAAATATGTATATATAATATTTATAATATATAAAAGTATATAATATTTATAATATATAAAAGTATATATATTTAAACAGGGATTTAAATGTCTACTTAAATATGCTCACACACAGATCAAATTTTCTAAAACGGAGTTTCATGGTTAATAAAATAATCAGACTTCAGTATACGTGTAATTGGATAAAATTTTTATGTATGGAAGAGTTTAAATTTATGCATTCTCCATACATACCACAACCTCAACTGCTAGAATTGTTTCTGGGGTCTTAATTTGACAGATATTATGTAGTGATCTTACATACATTATTTTAATTAATCCTTCCTCCAGTCTCTTGAGATAAATATTGTTGTTATCCCTCTTTTATACATAAGGCAAATTAGGAAGCTTAGTAACTTGCTTAAAGTCCTATGGCTACAATTGATAAGGCTGAGACTTGTAGCTGTCTTACTCCAGAGTCTATATTTTAAACATTGTGCTTTTCTATGATCTTCTTTAATTAGCAATGCAACATATCAAAACCAATTGAGAGATACCAGGCACTCAGTGCCTTTCAGGGCTTCTCCTATGCACTATCTAGATGGTTGTGTGTCTTAAAGTAAGAAATCAGAGAAAGAATGAAAGAAGATTACAAATTGCAGGCAGATTGAATTATGGCTTGGGTGGAACTGGGGRAAAAAAATCAATGCAACAAAACTTAGATCCTCAAACTTAGATAGCTTTGTAAATTGCAGTTATTTTGGAAAGAACAATTCATCCTGAATAAGTGCATACCTTTAACATCCTAATGAGAGCCTGGGGGAAATAATTAACATCTATTGTGATACTCCAAATAAACATAAGTTATGCAATGTGCAATATATTTTAAGAGTTCTCCATGCTATCCCTTAAAGTCAAATGTATCTGTGAGTTGAAAGTGTAACTATCTGTAAATTAACTATAACTGAAGCAATTTCTAGAGAAATATGGGGGAGGGAAGTTGACTGGAAGCTAGAATAGATAGAAGAAAAACATTCTCCATTGTCTACTTTTACAACATTGCTTTCTATTCTAAAGGATAAGATAGATATTAGATTTTTTAAATACTTGCACTTTAATATATTACAGCATGCAAAACCAAACAAACAACATGCTGTTTCTTTAACTTTTGCTAATCAATTCTATAAGATCTAATTGCATGTTCCCATCATTGTCCAATTTAAATCTTCTCTTTTTTTCACAGACTGAACTAATAATTCACTCCTGGCAGGAGCACATGTTTACAACTTCTACACACTGTGCCTCCCTCTTACTGGCTGCTCATCTTCCTCTAATAAGGTTTATCTTGGCCATATTGGCTCTAAGAAGATGGGGTTCATATGGAGTTTCTCTTTGCTTTTGATCTGTTTTCTTGCAGATTTCTGCCTTGTTCTTAGTTCCTTCTTGCTATGAAAAAAAGGTCTTTTCTGCCAACTTGTGGTCAATAGAGCAGACATATGCAAATAATGGAGCATCCTCTTAAACTGCCAAGCTGGACTTAATGTCTATCTTGGATGTAGCTCTAGCCAAGATGCAAACCATAGGCATGTGTTCTGCCAAGTGAGCAAGCAGGGAGTCTCCCTCCAAGCAGGCCAGAAGCAGGGCTAGGTTTGTACCAACCCCAATGCTTTTAGCAAAATAGAGCAAAATTTACATTGAGTTTCCACAGTCTTCCAATATATATATGCTGGAATTCTTAGAAGTTGTAAAAAGCAGCTATCACAATGCATCAGACTCTCTACTGCCCTATATCCCTCCTCCCTCAGCCCAGAGCAGTTCTCCTAGGGTCTCTGTTTCACCAGGCCAGATTTTCAGACTTGAAGAGAATTCATTCAGATTCACTTACTCTTTTTCTTGTTTTAAAATTCATAGAGACTAATGTACATGCACATAAACTGAAAAGATCACGCTTGAAGTGCACATTTATTTTAATTTTGAAAAGGATGAATAGATTCATTTATAAAAATCCATTGGTAAGGTATTATTTGCATAATCT